TATTAAGAGTATTAACAAGATCAAATTTTATTTACTTTGCTTACTTATTTTAATTATATATTTGATAAAATAATATAATTATATCATTACTAGTTTTATAGATCTTATGGTGTAGTTTTTAGATATATAATTTTATTTTTTGATTTCACACCACTTTTATTTAACATCGTAACACGTAAAAGGAAGATATTTTTTAGAGTACTGGAGTCTTTATTTAGTTTTGAGAGTACTATTGTAAAGTTTTTAATTTTAAGGAGAATTTATATAATTTTTTCTCTTATTAAAACAAAAAAACAACTAAGATATCAACTATGCATAATTACTTACATGTAAGCATAAGAAAAGTTGATTAGGCATAATGGGAGTAGTAATATAAACTTATAGTTTAATTTGGAGCACCAGAGTCTTTTATTAAATTTGGGAGTATTATTGTAAAATTTCAAATTTCTAGGAGTATTTATATCAATTTTTCCAATAATAAAATATGGCCCAAAATGTAATTCCATACCCGACCAATTTTATTTTTTCATTTTTCAAAGCCGACCATGCAAACACTTTTTACTTTTTTCGAATTCGAATATTCGAATACAAATTTGAATATCTGACTTATCTGTGAATATGAACTCGAATCAAATACAAAAATTTTTTATAATTCAAATTCTTAACGAATTCGAACTTGAATACATACCATTCCAAAGAAATATAAATCGAATAAATCAATATTTGATTCGATTTGTATACACCCCTACAAGGCACCGTGCCCCTTCTCTCCAATCCAATAATATTCTTACAATTCATTTACCCTACTTGTAATTCAATAAAAAATTACTTTGGATTTTTTTAATGTGTGTTAATGAAGGCTGTAAATAAAGGATAATTTACAATAACTTTCTCTAAATAATATCACATGTATTTTTATCCAATGTGACACTTTTAGTTATTATTCATTAGTCATTATTTAAGTAAATGTTTATCATCACTAGACATTATGTATATTATTAATTACTATTTAGAAAATAAAACAGTTTAAGCACTATTTAAGAAAATGACTTAAAGTTTAATAACTTCGCTTAAAATAGAAGTTCTAATAATTTTTGAATAATGAAAGAGGATTTTAGTATGAGTAAAAATAAAAAAAAAGTCATTGAAATTGATCAAAGATTTTTGAGGTCGGAAGAGACAATACTTGCAGAGCATTGTGAAGATCCGCAGAACGTCGCAGACGATCATTACAGTCCAGGATCATATTCTTCTTTTTGCCGGCCACCGCCACATTTGCGGCGCCGCAATAGTCGGCGAAGGAAATTCAAATTCTAATCTTAGTCAACCGCCGCCACTGCTGCGGCCCCTTTCCAGCCAACGAATACCAACGCCGCTGTCAGTTCCTATTTTTGCTCGCCAGCAACTTTTGGAGATGGAGAGTATAAATTCAGCTGATGATATCTCCACAGTGTATCTTCACGGGGACTTGGATCTGAAGATTCTAGAAGCTCGGAGGTTGCCGAACATGGATTTGGCCACCGAGAGTCTCCGGCGGTGCTTCACCGGATTCGACCTCTGCAGGAAGCCGCTCATCGCCCTACGCCGGCGGAACGGTCGCCGCCTCAGAAGAAGGAGAAGAATCATCACCAGCGATCCGTACGTCTCCGTCTGCCTCGCGGGGGCCACGGTGGCGCGTACGCGCGTGATTTTCAACTCCGAGAATCCCGTTTGGAACAATCACTTCAAAATTGCCCTGGCTCACCCTGTATCCAAAATCGAGTTCCAGGTGAAGGACAACGACGTCTTCGGCGCCGGCCATATCGGCGTCGCTTCAGTGCCGGCGGAGATGATAAATTCCGGCGAGGTAATCGAAGACTGGTTCCCAATTGTAGGCTCCCGAGGAAAACCCCCGAAAACCGATTGCGCCCTAAGGCTAAAGATGAAATTCGACCCGTTCAACCAAAACCCTAATTACCGGACCGGAATTCCCGAAAATTACGGTCTAATCGAGAGCTATTTCCCGGCGAGGCAAGGCGGGGCGGTAACGCTGTACCAGGACGCCCATTCGCCGGACGGAATTTTGCCGGAGATCGAACTGGAGGAGGGGAAGGCGGCGTTCCGTCACGAGAACTGCTGGGAAGACATTTGTGAGGCTATACTGGAGGCACATCACTTGGTGTACATAGTGGGGTGGTCAATTTATCACAAGGTGAAGCTGGTGAGGGAACCGGAGAAGCCATTGCCGGCGGCGGGGAGAGATCTGAACCTCGGCGAGCTGCTCAAGTACAAATCGCAGGAAGGAGTGAGGGTGCTGTTGCTTGTTTGGAATGATAAAACTTCTCATGACAAATTCTTCATTAACACTGTATGTAATTCCATACTTTCTCAATCCAAAAAAAAACTTATTTCAATGTATACAAAATTTAAAAAAATGTTTAAAAGAAAATAAATGTATATTTAGAATTTGTTTAGATATATGAAAAATCTCCGGAGCCACATTTTCTTAGCTAAAAAAGAAATAAAGTGAATAATATTTTTACATGTTTATTAGGGAAAGGAAATAAAGCAACGACAACAAAACTATCCGAGTACCTCAAAGGCTCCCCCACACTGCGGGGTAAGGAGGGTCGGATTTAGACAACATATTAAAACATAAAGTATTTGTTTTCGGATGACCCATAATGAGTGTTGAAAGTTGCATGAGTTAATTATTACTCCTCTACAAAAAAAGCAACAAAAGTTCAAGAGTAATTTTGTTTTACTCCGTCTTACTCCAAAGCCAAATCATAGTGAATATTTGACCCCACCGGAGAAGTTGGAAGAAATGAAATAAAACAATTACCAATTATCAAGAAAGAAATAAAGTGATACTCTCTAAGTGTTTTTAGGTACGTCCAATAAGGTTTTGCATTTTTTTCTTGTTGACTTGTTCTAGAAAAGGTTATCTTTTACTTGTAAGGAAAGAAGGACAATAATCTCTATCAGCATAAATCTCTACCAAACTACCAATCAAATTTACTGTTTTTAATCTTTGTTGCCAGTCAATGGTAGAGTTTTTTGGGAAGAAGGGAGTAACCTACATTTTGATTTTTAAGTGACTTTGGCATTGACTTATTTTTCTATAAGAAGTTTACATCTTTTCATACATTTATTAACATTATCATTATAACAAACACACTTTGAGTTTTAGATGAAATGTGGTCAATATTGGCTTAAGATAATGTTTATTATGATGGAAAGTATTTATGAGAGTGATGTCCTTCTCTTGATAACAAAGACATTGCAATCGTAGGTGGAAAGTGATAATAAGATTTTTCTTATTTTCCATATATGTTGAACAAATGAGAAGGCAAATTAGGAAAGTGGATTAAGTGTTAGGATCTCACATACACACAATTAAACACAAATGTAGATAAAGAAATACAAGGATGAAGAAAAATTGTGGTAACGCCTCATGGGTATGTACTTTACAGAAAAGATATTCAAAATTTCGTTTTCCATAGTTTGTATGGAAGGTTTAGCCTCATATTCCACTCGTAAAATAACGTGAGAACCGGCGAAGTAAAATTCTTCATTTAATCTTCTCGTTCTGGCATGACTGAGTTTAATATGCAGGCAGGATTGATGCAAACTCACGACAAAGAAACTCGTAAATTTTTCAAGCACTCGGCCGTCACTTGCCTGCTTTCGCCTCGATACGCAAGCAGTAAGCTTAGCCTTATCAAGAAACAGGCATGCCTATACACACTTGTTCCACTTCCTCTACAACATTTTAGCAGAGAGTAATCTGTTTATGCATAGATTCTAGTTTTATTAACTCCATATTAGAATGATATTGTCTGTTTTGGGCCAATTTCGCGCATATTCATGGTTCCTTAGCTTAGATTTTCAATGTAGTTCTACTTTTGTCATAAACAGGTGGTGGGAAGTCTTTACACACACCATCAGAAGTGTGTGATTGTGGACACTCAAGACAAGGGCAATAAACGGAAGATAACGTCTTTCATTGGAGGTCTAGACCTTTGTGATGGGCGCTATGATACCCCCGAGCATAGACTCTTTCATGATCTTGACACTGTTTTCATGGATGACTTTCACAACCCCACATTTCCTGTAAGTGTTCGTTGCACCGGAATCTCTGTCTTTTTTTCGACTATTGATTTCTTTGATTTTTTTGGTATTGGTGGTGTAGTAAATTGAAGAGAGATGTAAAAAATGTGAATAAATTTTCCATTTAGGGAAAAGGGAAAATAAGATATAGATCGGTCTATAAAAAAACAGGAAAAAAGATATAGGACAAATGTGGGTATATTTTGAGGATTCTTTTGTGGTGAGCATGCAATTTAACGTAAACTAAGCATTGCAGGTTTTGTTGGGGATAAATTAAAGAAGATAACACGGATAAATTGAGAGCCGTATATAACACTTTCAGATTGAATATTTTGGGAGTTCAATCTAAAATTCAGTCGGATAAACTCAAAGTTATCAAGAACAAGTATGAATGTGTTGTGAATTTCCGAGGCCTCTCCTTGTAGAGATAATAATGCTGATTCATCTCACTTCTGTAATAGGCAGGAACCAAGGGACCAAGGCAACCGTGGCATGACTTACATTGCAAAATTGAAGGGCCTGCTGCGTACGATGTCCTCACAAACTTCGAACAACGATGGAGAAAAGCCAGGAAATGGTCAGCACCAGGTAGGCATTTTAAAAGGAGGGTTCTTTGGCACGACGATGCTTTACTGAAGATAGAGAGGATCTCATGGATAGCTAGCCCTTCGCCCACTGTCCCAAACAATGACCCTTCGTTGTGGGTCACCAAGGGCGATGATCATGGAAGATGGCATGTTCAGGTCCATTACAGCTCCATTTTTTACAAGTAATATATAATAATTTGCATAGTAACAAAATATTTGAACTTGTGAGGATCCAGAACTACTCCCCTTTTATTCGTAGAATTGTGGGATTTCGACCCAAAACCAATTGACAAGGAGAGGAGTAATTCATATATTTATATATTAGCCCTTTTTTAGACGCGGTGTTCGATGTAGGATTATATCCTCAACATGCCCTTCAAGTACAACTTAAATGGGTCTTTCTTACAACCTGGATGTTCTATGTGAGATTATAATCTTCAGCAAGATCAAATATACTATTTCGATTTGTGACAGATATTCAGATCTATAGATTCTGGATCATTGAAAGGATTCCCCAAAGATGTTCACTCAGTTGAGTCACAGGTGCTGCTCTTTGCATATATACTCTTCATCCTGTTTATACTACTTTTAGTTTTTAAATTTGTTTTTCAATTTTTGCAGCATTTGGTTTGTGAGAAAAACGTGGTGATTGATAGGAGCATCCAAACGGCGTACGTTCAGGCAATTAGACGCGCCCAACATTTCATTTACATCGAAAACCAATATTTCATCGGGTCATCATATGCTTGGCCTTCCTATAAGAATTCAGGTTTCATGCCCTTTTTTTCACATGTTTTTCCAGTACCTATAGAGTTAGATATTCAAAGCCCATTTGGTATACTTTCTGCTCATTTTATGGTTTTTGTTTCAGGTGCAGATAACTTGATTCCAATTGAACTGGCGCTCAAGTTGGCGAGTAAAATCCGAAATGGGGAGAGATTTGCCATTTACATAGTCATTCCGATGTGGCCCGAAGGCGCCCCAACTTCTGCTTCTGTCCAAGAAGTTTTATATTGGCAGGTAATGCAGAACAGTTATCTAAGTTTATTTATGGCTGTGAAAATATGTGTAGATGCATTTATTTATTGCTTCACAGGGGCAAAAAGAATAGTGAAAAAAAAATTCAACAAAGAACTATTCTTTACAGGGGCAAACCATGCAAATGATGTATGAAATCGTTGCGCGGGAGCTAAAATCGGCTCAACTTGAACACTCGCACCCTTGCGACTATCTAAATTTCTATTGTCTTGGCAATAGAGAAGAGCAACAGCACGAAGAAGAAACCAAATTCTCCTCAGAACCACCTTCTAATGATAATAAGGTAATTAATAATGATTATGAATCTTATTAAGAGGGTGTTTGGTTGTGCTTATATTTAAAAAGTGATTATTTTTACAACAAAATTTTAACGATGATACACTTGTTTTGGCCTTGATGTCAAACACCGAAACTGAATTCAGGTCTCTGCTTCTCAAAAACATAGAAGATTCATGATCTATGTACACGCAAAGGGAATGATCGTGGACGACGAGTACATCATCTTGGGATCCGCTAATATCAACGAGCGGTCAATGGATGGGTCAAGAGACACCGAGATTGCAATGGGTGCATACCAACCACACCACATTTGGGCAAACACTAAGAAATATCCCCTCGGCCTGGTAAACATTGCTTCATGCAAAAACTCATTTACGCTATGTTTGGTTCTAATGAATTTGGAAGGAAAAGAAAAGAAAACGATTTTCCCTCATTTTCCTTTGGTGTTCATCTCTAACCAAAACAAGAAAAACTGTTTCCTGGTCATCTCAATTTCTTTTCTTTTCATTTTTCTGTTTCAAATTCCTTGAACCAAATATAGTGTTAGAGTCCCGCTATTTTTCACTGTGCGAGTTTAGCCAAAGAAATGTATTGTTTAGCCAAAGAAATGTATGAAAAGAGAGCTTGGAACTTGACAAAATTTTAAACATATGCAGGTGCATGGATATAGAATGTCACTATGGGCAGAGCATTTGGGAAAGACAGGAGAAGACAGCAGCAGCAGCTTCAAGGATCCCAAGAGCTTAGACTGTGTGAGGGATGTGAACCATATTGCCCAGAACAACTGGGAGAGGTACGCTGCGGAGGACACTGTCCCTTTGCAAGGGCATCTCCTCAAGTACCCAGTTCAAATTGATGCAGATGGGAAGGTAAGCCCCTTGCCTGGCCATGAATGTTTCCCCGACGTCGGGGGTAAAGTCTTGGGAACTAAATCCGCCCTCCCCGACGCTTTAACAACATGAATCATTCCCTCGAACCCGCTAGATTTTTCAACTTTAAGTGCAGTAAATCCGTCATAAAACACAAAAAATTAACTTGTTCATAATAAACAACTCATGCCCGATTTGTCTTACAGAAATTAATTATAGCTCAATTTACCTCTGTAATAATTCATAATTGCTTGAGGAGGGAATGGTGATAATAGAGGAGTAAACAAACACAAAGCAGAGCATTGTAATTCCATGAAAAGACAGAGGAAAAAGTAGTGTTCCATACAGAAAGAAATGAGAAGAGAAATCTTCTTCATTTCACTCAACAATGATCTTGCCAACCATGCCGGCGCCCTGGTGAGGGGAGCAGTAGTAAGAGTAGGTCCCCTTCTCGGTCAGCGTCACCGTGAACGTCTCCCCCGGGGCGTTCAGCAGGTTCTCCTCGCTCATCGATATCTTCGACACGTCCACCCCGCCCGGCACCTCGTCCTCGTCGAACACCACGTTGTGCGGGAACCCCGCGTTGTTCCTGAACACGATCGTCTCCCCGGGGGCCACTCTCAGCTCCCCGGGGACGAACGCCAGCGCCCCGTCGTCGCTCCCCAGCTTCACCTCCGCCGCCCATGCGGCGTTCCCGGAGAGCAGAGTGGCGGCCGTGGCCGCAGCCACGGCCGCCGTGCCCACAGCTTCCCTCAATGAGGCCTTGACTGCGAACCTTCTTGCCTTCGCGGGGGTGGGGAGGAGTCTAGAAGGGGTTGATGTTGCTCCGGCGGCCCGGAGGCGGGGGAGGGAAGGGACGGCGACGGCGGCGATGGTGGCCATGGATGTGTGTGATGATGGAAGTGTGATGAGAGAAAAGGGAGAAGAAATGTGTGGGTGGTGTTTGGGATGAGGAGAGTGAGGGATTTGTGATCGGTTTTATTATCACTGGAGAGTGAATCTTATTGGTGGAGGGGAGGATATATACGCTGACGTGGGACTTGGGCAGGCATACACTTGAGACCAGTCACCATGGTTTGAAAAATCTTGATGGGGGGAGTAATTTTTGGGATGAAAAGCAATGTCATTGGTGTGGGTTTTTTTTAATAGAATTAATTTGCATTCCATATTTTTTTATTTATATACGAGATAAAACCATTTTTTTAAAAAGAAATTTTATACGTTACTCGAAAAGTGAAAATGAATTTGAGACGGGAGGAAAAAGATAATACTAGCAAATGAAAAATAGGAAATTAATTTTTTAAAAGAAAAAAATGTGTGGCAGACGTGGCGAGCGGGATCGATGGAAACATTGTCCCCTTCGGGATGGCCATGATCATCGTGATCCCTATCTCAGTCATTCCGACTTGTCTTCTTCGAATTTCCATTTATTTGCGACTTCATGTGCGACTCGAGAGGGGTAACATCGTTGCAAAGCATCGTTAGATATGATCAATATACAAAAATATGTAAAGAAGACTTGACACACTCAATGAATCGCGTAAAAGACGCTTTCAGATTAAATTTATACTCCGAAGTATTAGGATACTCTAAAATACTTCAATCGAATAAGACATTAGTATCTAAAATGAGTTGGATCTTCGATTCTCTCAAACATAGCGCAAGTCTTTATGGATGCAGAGAAAACATTGATCTACTACGTATGTCTTTTTTCTCAATCTATCAAAGCTCAAAGAGTTGTCACCTTTACTTGAATTCGAACATGTAATCTCTCATTTATGAGATCCAGAATGGTGTTTAGACCACAAAGTCTTTGACTAAGGGCTTGTCTTTTTCACTTAATCTGAATAATTTTGATTTGATTGAAATAAGTTTTGATATGATCTGATCTAAATATAATTATATTTAAAGTTATTTTTGAGCTAATTTCAATAAAAATCAAGAATACATAGTAAGAATAAGTTGAAGAAAACATGGTCTAAAAGAAAGCTAGAAGTGTAAAAATGCCCATTCTTGTTTAGTTCATTTTCAGAAAATGAATAATCTCAAAGTGCATCAGCCGAAAAAATCCTTCAATTGAAGCTTTTGACCTCACAATGTGACCCAGGGCACCTATAATATTTTGCTGATGAAATTGATGGTTCCTACCATCTAACTCTCAAACACTCTTCTTCTCTCTGTCTTTGTCCCCGACTCCTGACCATATAGCCCCTGCCCAAATCAATGATCTACGGGAACAGAGAAATTGGGACGAGATGCAAAGATCAGAGAATTGTAGGATTATAATAACTATCTATGGAGTATTTAACAATAAAATACCATAAATGCCCAAAATACTCGAATTTTTCTCGAGTCATATTGAACTCGGGTCAAAAGATCCTTTTCGAACCAAGATTATTTCTCATTGACTACATTTTCCAACCAAGCCAAACTTCAAGTGTAAAATAACTTTGAAAAGATAAATTCTATGGTGGTCCTAAAGTCCACAATGGACTTACAAATGAGCAAAATAAGTATTTTTTAATACTTAAATAAGCAAAATTACAAAAATAATATGCACCCAAAGTATGTCAAAGAAGTAATAAAAATGCTTCATTTTTTATGTAATTTTTTTTACTCATCCTTTCGTTTGAAAAGAAAAATACATCATAAACAAAATAAGTATTTTTTTATTATTTAAATAAGCAAAATCTACAAAAATAATATGCACCCAAAGTATAAGAAAAGAGTAATAAAAAATGCTTCATTTTGTATGTACTCCTTAATTTTTTTTACTCGGCCTTTCATTTTAAAAGAAAAATACGTACGAGCAGTGTTTCCCGGTAATCAAATCAGGTCCTAGACTCTCCCTCAACCCATCTCAACCGCCATGGAAGCTCTGGCATCTTCCTCAGCCGCCCTAGCACCTCCTTCACTCCCAATCTTTTCCCCTTTCAAATCCAATCGTCATTCATCTAAACGCGTCCTCCGGTTATCCGCCTCCCCGGAAAGTACTCCATCTCCGCCGGCTCGTATTTCATTCGATGATATCAGAACAACTGAGCTTTCAATTCAGATCCCTTCTGTAATTAATAATTCCATTTGATCTCCCTTTTCAGGCAATCGGCGCGGACAGGATCTCCGATCCGATTCCGATGGGCCAAGCATCGACCCGATCCTTTCCAATCAGACACTCTCGGAGGTAATCATTGAATCCTACTGGTATTTCTTCGTTGTATTGAGAGTTTCTGTTTCGTATATCAGTCGAAATTTCGTCCAGGACGCGGCGATGGGGTTAGTTCTGAGTGCGGCAAACGTTCGCGGCTGGACTACAGGCTCCGGGATGGAAGGGCCGCCGGTTCCGGCCGGTGGGAAGCCGGAATTGGGAAAGGAGCAGGTATCTACCTTCCCCTGGTCCCTCTTTACCAAATCACCACGACGTCGTATGCTTGTGGCCTTCACCTGCAAAGTCTGTGGACAGCGCACCACCCGTGCCATCAATCCTCATGCTTATACTGATGGTACTGTTTTTGTTCAGGTAAAAATTTACTCCATAACAATTACTCCCCATTTTTTTCCCTCAATTTACTTTTCGATCAATGTTTTAAAAATTTGACCACAATATATGGGTAAAAAAATTTAGGGAGTATGTTATAATATAAATTTAATATCAATAAATACGAGCTGAGAAATTGATGGTCAAAGTTAAACAGGAAGAAATTTTTCAGGCCAAGGAAGTAAATGTTTGTGGTCTTCACTTTTCACAAACAAAATTATTACTCAATATTAAGGAAATTTTGAACTTGTAGGCCTTAGTGTTTTGCCACCATACATTTTTTATACTCCCCGTCCGGATTTAGTTGTTCGTTTTTTTATTCTTTATCCAGAATTAGTTATCTACTTTCCCAATTCAATAAAAAATTATGTTGAATTGTCTAAAATACCCAACAGATAGGGTATAACATTGTTGAAATGAATGCGTGACAATCTCATTCAAATGACTTAATTGGCATTTTAAACTTGTTCTTTGAAAATGAGTTTTTTTTTTTGTTGGAAAATGGACAACTAAATATGGATGGGGAGAGTATAAATTTTTTAGCTTTTCCCTTTGGAAGGGTAAGGGAGTTAGTGAATGGAAGGGTAAGGGAGGGGATGCATTATGCTACCATATTCTTGTTTGGGAGAGGATAAAATGGACAGGATGAAACTGTCAGGATTCGAGGAATGAGAATCACAAACATTTCACTGGGAGAAAATGGTGAAGAGATTGAGTATAGTAGAGTGTGTGATAGAGGGTAGTGGTAGAGAGGAGAAAGAACTATATGCAGTATGAAATAATATTCAATCTCACTTCATACACCTTAAATTGAAGTGTATCACAATTTTATAGACATGAGGTCCAAGGAAGGAGAATACCTACACGGCTACACCCCCTTACACTTCCTTTGCACCGTCATGCATTTCTTTCGTCTCTCCAAATAACAGTAATCCTTTCAAAATACATACACCCATGCATTTGATCCCAACAAACTTGTAAATATTAAGGTCCATGAGTCATTTTTGGCGTTTTATCACGGTGTGATTAATTGTATTTCAATTATTGCAAAAATAAAAAACCTAGACTATAGAATATCAAAGGCATATCTTTGATCACACAGACCTTGTTTGGAAACGTTGTTGACAATCAGCGTTAGCGTTTTAGATAGCTTGTTAATGGTGTAGATTGACTTTGAAAATGCTAAAGCTAAATGTTGTCAATAAATTGCCTTCTAGACATGCTAGAGCTAAATGCTGAAGTTGTTGCCACATGGACACATACTCAAGACTATTTAATCTTATAATTGAGGGCGTGAAATTGTAACTTTAGCTTTTTATTACTACCATTAATCCAAAAACCGGCCTAGGACATGGCCTTAGTTATGGCTTTAATTGAGGCGGGTTAGGCGTCCGATTAGGTCCTCCTAGTTGTGTAAGCGCCACACGAGTGCTGGATGTGTACCCTGGTTGTAATTCATGTACCTATCTACAATGCCGTTACCAATAATTGAATTATTTTTATTTTTGTTAATTATCTGATTTGCTCTTTTTTACTTGTTCTGTACTTGGTAGTGTTGTGGATGCAACATATATCACAAACTGGTTGATAATTTGAACCTCTTTCATGATATGAAATGCTATGTGAATTCGAGCTTTAATCCCGATTCTATCGGTGCCCTCGGCTTTGGGTATTTCGAGTTGGATGACGACAAAGGAGATGATACTTCACAACAATTTTAAGGTGAAGTCAACACTTCAGAAATTTGCAAAGTGTTTTTTGTACATTCTACACTATCCTACCAGCAACATATATATTGCTTATTGTTCTTGTAAATAATCTCTAGTTTTGTATCCTAAATTAAATGGCTTGCTAATAAGTTGCTATGCACTCCTCTGATATTTCTTTTCGTATTTCATGTCCTATGTGAAGAGTCATATTTCTCTAGCATACCACTTTTTTATTTTTGCGATGTAAAAATAGTGGAGTATAGTTAAATTTTCGAATATACTCCGGGTATTTGTTATTTTAGTGTCTATTTCTTGGAAGATTTCTTTTGTACACTAGAGTCTACACATTATCGCCATTCGCCACTACATTGTTTTATACTCCCTCCGTCCCACTCTCTTTGTCCACTTACCTTTTGACACACCATCCAATACATTTCTTTAATCCATTTTATCTTGTAATTTGTATATTAAAAAATTATAGAAACTATATATTAATAATTTATATGTTAAGACAAATCAAACAAGATCACACATGACTATATTTAGGCTTACACATTGAAAGAATTTGATGAGTCAAAGTGTTTAGATGAACAGTTCCAAAAGTCAAAAGTGGACAAAGAGAGTGGGACGGAGGTAGTATATTGAAATGCACAACACTTTTGACTCTTTTTATGAAAATCAAAAGGGTTTTCATATACTCCCTCCGTCCCCTGTATTTGTCCACATTTCACTTTTGGAACTGTTCATTTAAGCACTTTGACTCATCAAATTCTCTCAATGTGTAAGCCTAAATATAGTCATGTATGATCTTGTTTGATTTGTCTTAACATATAGATTATTAATATATAATTTCTATAATTTTTTAATATACAAATTACAAGATAAAATGGATTAAAGAAGTGCATTGGATGGTGTGCAGAAATGAAAGTGGACAAATACAGAGGGACGGAGGGAGTACGAGTCAGTGGTCTTGAACTTGGAACTGGGTTTTCATATACGTGTAACTGAGTTGTCGCACTTGGAACATGCTATAAAAATTTTACCCCGTCAGCAGCTCTATTAAAATTTTTGTCTTATCTAAACAAATTAAATTACATTAAATAATCGATAACAATAAAATCACACAGTGAGTTCTGATTTGCAAGTAGCCTCTCATTTTTCTTATTAAAATATGGGGAGAGAAAAAAGTCATCACCTCACCATTGGGGAACTTTTGGAAAAATATTTACACATTAATTTTGATGATGTGGAAAAGAGATAAAGTGTAGAGAGAGATTGGTGATATTCTTTTTCCTCACCAATGTGAATGCTTTACTCAAACAAAAAAATTATTTTCTATCTCTTTTTTTCTTTTTTTTTTCAAAGTTTTTGAACCAAATATAGTGTAATTAACCTTTTTTTTGGAAATTAAATTTGTTCAGTTTACCTTCCAAAGAGCCCACACAACCAATACAAGCAGCTTTTACTCTCTAAGCCTGATTTTTATTAAAAATTTGATTTAGTTCAATTTGTCTATTGAACTTTGGTTTCAATAATAATTGCACTTCTGCATTTGTCGAACTTGTTTCTAACGTCGATTAAAGTTCTTGTTTGATTTAAGTAAATTTAATTATATAAAATAACTGATAATATTATAATCACCTGGGGTCAACCTGTAATTAGTGATTCTTAGTAGTTATATCATCATTTTCAATTGTTTTTTAATCGGTACTATTTTACTAGAGAGAATATTTGTGTATTTTTATATGGACCTCATGCTCAGAATAAAAGTACTGCTTGTGTATATGATTATTTTTTGTGAGATTTTGATAATATTTGACATTAGCTTAAATGTTTTGAAATCGTTATCCAACAATAACTCTTAGCATTAAACGTTTTCAGTGTTAATTATATAATTAAAAAATTAAACAAAAGATAAACACTAATCACAAATCCAAACGAAGGGTGTACTAGGGATTATTATTGCTTCGTATTGTACTTCTATTTGAAAAAAAAAGTCATGCTAGAAAATGCCAAAATAAACAAAATTACGTCTCACAAACAATATTTTTTTTATTGATAATTATTCTTTGTTCGAAAATAGTCATTATTTCAAAATTGGTGGTTTTCTTGCATTTTTTAAAACGAAAATTGGCAATGAGTGTTTCACAGTTGACAAGACAATGACTTTTAAGAGGGTAAGAGCCGAGTTCGATTACTAGCAAATGCGTTGGGAGGTAACTATGTTGAGCATATGGTCTCTGTAAGAACCAGATACATGCTTTAATATTTGACATCAGTCTATGCTCAAAGTCTAATTTATTTCTTCTCAATAAGCGTCCAATCGAGTCTGAGAGAGGTTCGGGATGAGGCTCACCCTTTTTTTTTTAATAAAAGATTGGAGCAAGGTGAATGAATAGTAACGTGTCACATGTTTCAAATTCATGCAAAGAATCCCGACAGAATATCCATAGTACATCCAACCTCCAACAACTCATCTCTTTTTCTTCTTTTTCTTTGATCCCAAAATCCCAATCCGAATCAATTCCGCCTTTATTCCGCGAATCTCGATCTCCTCCGCCTCAATTTATCCATCGCTATGCAGCCATGGAAGACGTGATGAGTTGCAGCAACAGTAATGACTTCAGGCCGTACGAGTCAGCACCGAGTCAGTCTGATCGGAAGAGGAGAGGCAAGGCTGAGGTGTACAAGGATGTGGTCAGAAGACTCCAGGAGTCCCATTTCGAGGAGGCGAGTCAACCCGGCTTCGCGGACGAGTTGTGGACTCACTTCTCGAGGCTTCCTCTCAGGTATGCCTTATGGAGTATACTTCTGCTTCCTCAAACTGATTCGGATTTTCGCTCCACATCCAAGCCTTATCCCTTGTTTTTATCTTCTCGAAACCAATTTCGCTCAATAATCTCTTTCTCTGCTTGAGTAATTGTGTGTTATGGGATCATGGTTAGTGGTTTTGCTTCAATGCTCTAAGAGATTTATGTTCTTTGATTACCCATTTCTTTGAAATGATGTAAGAGTATTCTTGTTGGCACCCGCTGGACTGAGTATGATGACCATAAAACTTTGTATATGATGTGTTCTTGTTGTTAGGTATGCGTTGGATGTGAATACTGAGAGGGCACAAGATGTAATCATGCACAAGAAACTGTTGCGCCTAGCACGCGATCAAAGCACCAGACCAGCAATTGAAATTCGCCGTGTGCGGGTAGGTAGTATGTGAACAACCTGTTGGTCATTTGCTTTGGAAAATTCTTAACGTGCTCATGAAGGAAGTCTACGGGTTTGTTTTTTGAGCCTAATGCTTGACCAACAATATCTCTTAAAATGTAATAGCAATTTTTTTAAAAAAAAAATACATTCAAAGTGTTTTTTGATACCAACAATATGATTTAATTTTTATATTTTAATTCATTGTATATTTTTGTATATTGTTAGTCAAATGTTTGACAAGCAAAACAAATCAGATAGTTAAAAAGTAATGGAGGGAGTAAGCATAATAAGCATATAATGGCGCTACCAAAGAAGGCCTTAGTTTGGAGAATTATGAAAGTCCTATTGGTGATAGTGAATGATTATGTTGTTAGTGTTAGTGCATGTGTAAGCTGTTGTCGAACATTTCAATTTTGAAGTGCTTAGTTCTATGGAGTATTATATAGCTCAAGTGAGTACCCTCCCGATACAAGTTGATTTTTGTATGGAATATCACTTTGGGTTATGTACTTTGCCTCAGTTTTTTTGTCCCCCCCCAAAAAAAAAAACTTAGTTTTGAGCTTTAGAAGTCAAATTAATTGCTTACAGTAATCCTTAGCTATTTTATTATTTGGGCAACTTTTGTGGAGATTGTTGAATGTTTTGTTAGTTTCAGAATAATTGGATGATCACTTCATGGATTTATATGCTTGACTGTCGAGAATTCCTCTGCTGTTCAGATGCATCCAGTCTCTGATGCAAAATGTGGGGACACAGATTATTCCACCTTAACACGAGGATGCGCACAAGGTATTGATGACCATGGCAGGTAGAGGCATAAATATAATCCACGATCTTATTCTGATTATCTCATGAACTGCATGTATCCTAAACCTTTTTCTTTTGTTTCTTAATATTCTTATTTTCACTTTGATCTCTAGCATTCATCCAACACTTGCGTTTGGGTTGACCCTAAACTTAGAACTCACACTTGAAGCCAATAAACCATGTTTTGAAGATGCAAATAGTTCTGTGAGTGGAGCTTCAAACTTATTTCGGTAATACTCTAAGGTTTGCTCCTTTTTAGAATTCCTTCTGGTGCTTATTTTTTGAAAGGACATTTCATTTCAATTCAAATATTTTCCTGGATTTTGGTACTTCCTCCGTTACAAAAAGAATTTTGTTTGTAAAGCTGATTTCATTATTGCAACCATTATTCCTTTTTTTTGGGCCGGGGGGG